CTCAAGCATACCTTTTTTTTTATAATAATTAATTTTTGTTGGGTCTGTGATGGGTTAATAAGTAGTTGTTGGGGATATGCCAAATTGTTTCTATTGAATTCATGTTATGGGATTAAAAGACATTGACATAATGATTTTGATAATTATCTTTTCAGTTATTAAGCATACTTATTTTTTTGTTTAAAGAAAAGTTAGAGTAAACCTTTGTTTCTGTGGAATATACAACAAAGGATCTTTGCATGGTAAATACAGCTGCCCCAAGCTTTCTATATTAAACTCACTTATTTCTTTTGTATGAGGCAAAGTCTTATGTCAAGCTCACAATTCTTTTGCAACAAAAGAAAACTATTTTTCTTATTTTACTGTACATATATGTTGACACGTTGGATAGCTGAAAAACCCATGTTCCCTCCTGATGCATAGTCCTAATGCATTGACAACATATGTATGTAGCTGTTTAGCACGGATGAGTTTCATTTTTTATTTACTTTTTTTTTGTTTTTTAGGAATTTTTTACGTACTATGTATCAATTGGGATGATTTTTTTTTTGCATAAATTGAATGTTAATGACGTTTGGCAATTGTGATTGATCCATGCTAAACATTGCAATGATCAAATTAGTTTGCCTTTCATATATTGGTAATATGAATTGTTTGGGTTTAAAATCTACTGTTATTTGTTTTGGTGATTTGATTCAAAATGGTGCATGTAGGCAATTAATATTCAGCTGGGACAAAGAGAATTGGCTTGGTTTGGAGTCATGAAATTGGATTAGTTTTTATATGGTTTAGATTATGTTCTATGCATTGAATGTGCATATAATTTATATTGCAATTGTTTCTAGCTAGCCTTCTTTATGGATTGAATTCATTGTGCTACCACTTTTAGGAATTGCAACTTTCCTTACACTATTGTGGGTTTCTCCTTATATCCCTCTAGATATATATGTTTTTTTTTTTGTTTTAAAGAGAGAAATTTTATTGAATAAATCTCCAAAAATTACAAGAATAAAAAACAGCAACTGTTTCAACCAAAAAAAAGTAACTGTTTTAACAAAAAACAGAAAAACTGTTACAGACAAAAAAGTTAAAAAAAATTCCTCCTGTACAGCTGCTGCAATCCTGAATTTCACAGTTCAGCTCCTTTCTCCTAACAGCAGACAACATCCTTTATACAAAAGCGGATCCTGATGCAGAAGCAGTCTGCCAACACTGATTCCAGCTGCTGAGCATGCACTCAGCAGGTAATGGCACTCCACAGATCAGCTCCTGGATCATTACTCAACCCCAGACAGAACCTGATGCAGAAGTAATCTGCCAGAATAGCAGAATTCCACTGATACTAATTTCCTTTTTGTCCAGCTAAACAAATCAGCTGCCCAGTCTTCAAAACAATGCAGAAACAGCTTCTCACTACCGCATTTATACATCCTGGCCTGGTCTGCTATGCAGAATGCAACCAAATCTGAACCTACTCTTCTAACAGAAACAGTGAACATCATGCCCAAGCAAAAGTCATTATAAAGGCAATGCACCTTTAATTACAACCTTTCTTTTCCTTGCACTTGGCAGCATGTTTTGATCCCAATGCAGCAGCATCCTTCCAGAAAGTGGTAAGACACCACTGTTAGGAAAAACAGATGAACTTCCATTTTGTACTGCAAATGATGCCAAGAAATCAGCTACTCCATTCACCTCCTTGTACAAATGTTTGATTTGGACATTCAAACTACCAAACAGAACCCCAATCTTCTCCAAAACACCCCTCAATCTCCATGGCACTTCTGCCTTGCCAAGAACCATCTGCACCAATATTTGAGTCAGACATCACTAAAAACTGTTGCTCGTGCAACCCATGCTGCATAACCAGATTTAATCCATCCAATAGAGCCAAACATTCAGCCTTCATATTGGAACCTAAACCATAAAGCATAGCAGCAGCCAGCACCATATGATGACGTTTTGCATCCCTCAAAATAATTCCACCTCCAGACAAACCAGTACTCCCTTTGGAAGCTCTAGATATATATATGTGGATGATGAATGGATGTGTTTATTTTTGTGGATTTTATGTTGTGAAATAATGAATTATTTTTAAGGATTTAACAATTAAAATTTTGTTTTTCACTTTATGGATTCAATTAAGTAAACCCATAGTTTTGTTTGTTAATGTAGATTATCTATTTTCTATGATTTTTAATAACAAGTAGTTTACTATTTCTCAATAGGAAAAAAATGAGGTAAGAGTTGTTGGATATTACTGATCTATGGAAAATTTATGATGTGTTGATATGTTGGTCAATTTTTAGAAGGTTGTTGAATAAGGGGAGACAAGAGTTGGATGAAACAACTGAGGCAGCAAAGAGGCTAGCCATAGAGGGCAGTCCATGGTTGCAATGCTTGAGTAGTACGTTACGTGCACGAATCCACTTCTCAAGTTCTACAGGAAGAATGAGAGGGTGGTAGTATAGTTTGATTACTTTCTTTTGATGCTCTGTTGTGGTAAACAATTATGATTGTGTCTTTTTTTTTTATTTCCCAGTTTTAAGTACATGAATCTTGCATGAAGTTAAGAAATAATGTTGTCAATTGTTAGTGGATTCAGCTGTACTTTTTGGATAATGAATTGTTGTTATAGTGATATAGTGCTTCACTTTTGAGTGTGATATGAAGATATATTTTTTTAAACCTTGGAATATATTATGAATCGGTGGTGACATTGGGTTTTATGCGTTCACAGTTGGGAATTATTTTGTTATTGTAGAGTTGTTACTTCCATTCGGTGAGGTTTTCTATAGAAGTTGTACCAAAATGTATTTCCTCAGTCTGTCATGGTATAATGCTAGAACTATATAGGGATGATCTTTGTGTTAAAAGATACTAAGAATGCTAGAACTAAGAATGAGTTTAGGCGGCAAAGGCGCCGTTGATTGGATCTATATAAACGTGGGCTTGAATTTCTCTTCAAAGCCAATGGAAGCATATTTCGTGAAAGAGAGACTACAATCCAGTAGTTGTTTTTATTGGTAAATTATGTAAAGTTGTTATTTATTTTTATTCTAATTTCATGGGGTGCTTTTAGTCTACAATCAAGTTATCTCGCATAAGATTTGTATATAAAATATTAGGTACATATCATAATTGGGAATGTATGACTGTGAATTTTGTGGCTTTGAAAAGTTTATGATTATTGCGGTTGATTTATTATATGTTTTTTGATTTAATTATGCACTAAGTAAGAAAATTAGGTGTCATTGTTTTGAGGAATAGTTAACGATTGGGTCATCTAAAATTCAAGGAAGCAACAAAGATTAGGTTGGTAAGTATGGACATTTATTTGCGGTTTTTTATTTGTTACATAGTTCCTTTAGGCACGGGCAATTACTAGTATATTTATATAATATAAAAAGTTATTGGAGGATGATAGTTTGATACATAGTCATATAAAGGGGTTCTGATACATCTGGGAAAAAACGAAACTAAGTCTAGGAATCTTTTGACGAGCAAGATCAATAGTCATTATCATTATTTTTTCGACACAAGAAAAGACGTTTTTCACACCCATTTTTTCTTGTGTCGAAGTCTAGGAAGATGAATAATCGCTCCTAGAATGATTACCACCTGTTTGTTGAAATGCTCCTGGTAGTCGTCTGCCTTGATTTGCACCTCATGTATTTGATGATTGTATATAACATTTCATTGATATGTATTGGGTCGACTTATGAAATTTTGCATCCTGGGTTATACTTATATCAGGTGGTGGGATTTTCCTTTTGAGTTGAAGGTGAATTTCTTGAAGTAAACGGAAGGGAATGAACAATGAAAGTATTGTGGTTACTGGGTTTGGTTAGTATTGGCAAGGTAAACATGATAAAGCGTATCATACTGCAAAGCATAAACCTTGTTGGTGCTAATTCATCAACAATGGTCCATATAGGTATACACTCTTGCTTACTTGTCGAATTGTAAATTTATGATTTTCTAAATCCATTTCATAGTCTATGTCCAACAATATCTGGGAAAGGAATCATTTGATAAAGGGTTGATTAATATTTGGATTTGTTGTTTACTTTGTTTCATGTAGTTTTTGAAACCATTTTTGTTTCTCGGTGTTTTAGTTATAGGGTAAATCTGGACATAATTAGACTTTCCACTTGAGATGAAAGCTTTTATCTCCCTAAAATTCAATCTTGTTCTCTTGTAACAGGGAAATTGTCTGTAAGTTCTCTAGCCCTTTCATTTTATTCAACTCTCAGAGCAGTTAACAATGACAATGATAATGAAATTGGCAAAATGTCACTGGCAAAAAATTTGGCTTGTTTGGTCGAGGAATCTTTTGATATTGGGGAGAGTAGGCCTAGGAACCGCCTGGAGCTTAAGAGGTTTCTTGAACTTCAAATAAAGAAGAAGGTGAAGGAACAATATGCAAATGGGAAATTTCAAGACCTAATGGCAAAAGTGATTGGCAATCCAAAAACTCTTCGGAATGCCTACGATTGTATTAGGGTCAGCTCAAATGTCGACTTGGCATTGAATTGCGACAATCTGCCCTTTGAAGCCATGGCAGAAGAGCTCTCTTGTGGATGTTTTGATGTCAATGCCAATACATTTTCTATTTCAACAAGAGAAGCAAAGAAAGATGTCCTTGTCTTTCCGAATCTTAAGTTGAAGGTTGTTCAAGAAGCCATCAGAATAGTCTTGGAAGTTGTTTACAAGCCCCACTTTTCCAAGATTTCGCATGGTTGTCGAAGTGGAAGGGGTCACTCTTCAGCTTTGAAGTACATCTGCAAAGAAGTATCCAATCCTGACTGGTGGTTCACATTGCTTGTTAACAAAAAGCTTGATGACTGTATCATGAATAAACTTATCTCAACTATGGAGTGTAAGATAGAGGATCCCAGATTATATGCTATCATCCAAAGCATGTATGAGGCCCAAGTGCTTAATTTGGAATTTGGGGGCTACCCAAAAGGTCATGGTCTTCCACAAGAGGGGGTGTTGTCCCCGATCTTGATGAATATATATCTTGACCTCTTCGACCGTGAAGTGTACAAGATATCAATGAGATATGAAACTTTAGATACAAGGATTCATATGGATCAGGATTGTTCCAGCTCAAAGCTGCGCAGCTGGTTTAGAAGACAGATGAATGGCCCTAGTGTTCCACACACTAGTGTGGAGAAATCTGGGGTAAGAGTACATTCTTGTCGATGCATGGATGAGATATTTTTTATTGTTTCAGGTTCCAAAGAAGTGGCTCTTTCTTTCAAGTCTGAGATTCATAGTTACTTGCAGAATTCCCTCCACTTGAATGTTAATGATCAATCAGATATATTACCATGCAATGGTCCCCATGGTGTTTGCTTTCTTGGCACTTTGGTTAAAGGAAGTGTGAGAGAGAGTCCTGCAGTAAGAGCTGTTCACAAGTTAAAGGAAAAAGTCAAGTTATTTACTTCACAGAAACGAGAATCTTGGGATGCTGGGACATTCAGAATTGGGAAGAAATGGCTGGCCCATGGATTGAAGAATGTAAAAGAATCAGAGATTAAGCAGCTATCGGATAGTCGCTCTCTTTTGAGCCAAATTTCCAGCTTCCGTAAAGCTGGGATGGAAACTGACCACTGGTACAAACACTTGCTAAAGATATGGATGCAAGACCTCAGTCCCAGATCTTCAGATACTGTGGAATATATTTTATCTAAGTACATTGCAGAACCATTGCTTCCCCGAGAACTAAGAGATTCCTTTTATAAATTCCAGAAGTGTGCAGAAGAATATATTTCTTCGGAGACAGCCTCAACTCTTACCCTTTTGTCCAATTCTAGCTCTTCTTCTGATTTTGTCTTCACAGAGATTATTGCTCCTGTAAACATCATAAAGAAGCGTCTATTACGGTATGGATTGACAACCAATGAAGGATACCCCCGCGCATGTCATAAGCTCATCTTACAGGATAACAATCAAATTATTGACTGGTTTTCCGGTCTAGTTCACAGATGGCTTAGATGGTATAGTGAGTGTGAGTGTAACAATTACAGTGAAGTCAAGCTCATTATTTCTGATCAAGTAAGGAAATCTTGCATCCGTACACTGGCGGCTAAGTACAGAATACATGAAACTGAGATAGAGAAACGATTTGATTCAGAACTGAGCAGAATCCCTTCAACCCAAGAGATAGAGAATGAGATGGCAAATGAAACATTGGATTTTCAAACTTCCAGGTATGACGAATCATTATTGTATGGAATTTCTAGTAGCGGCCTGTGTTTATTATCTTTAGCCAGAACGGTGAGCAAGTCGAGGCCTTGTAGTTGTTTTGTTATTGGGTGCATGGCTGCAGCACCATGTGTTTACACTCTTCATGTGATGGAAAGGCAAAAGTTTCCAGGTTGGAAGACAGGATTTCCTAGTTGTATACATCCCAGTTTGCGTGGAAGGCGAATTGGATTGTGTAAACAGCATCTGAAGGATTTATATCTCAGTCTTATATCACTCCAATCTATTGATTTTGGTGCTTGGAGATGACAATACCTTATTAAAGGTAGTCTCTGTTAATCGATGAGAAAACATGTCAATGGAGCACTTGTAGATCTAGGAAAACATAGAAGCTGTAATAGGAGATTTAACTTTGGGATGGAACGCTAATGTACCAGAACAAGGGTCAACTTGAGAACGTGAGGTATATAGCCACAACAGTTGCTTTTCGTTCTGCATCATATATGAAGATCCTCATAATCCTTGGTCCCCAGGTTAGTGTATTGTTGACTTGTGTTGGATTCAATACATTTGTCAAACTCATCACCTAGAATTTGATATTGACTGAATTGCTGATAAGATACCAATTTCCTTCTTTTCTTGAAATCCTGCATCTAAAGCAAAATAGGAGAATCCCTTGTTGAGTAATGCATTATTGAAGGCAACCTCAGTAAGAAATGAATCCTAAATAGTTACGTACACCAACTGCAGAATATACAGTCGCAATAGTTCTCATGAGCCAGTGTGATGATACTGTAACAGTAGAACTGTAGTTAAGAGTTCAGAGATGCAGTGAATATTTGGTTACACGTGGTTGATGTGGTTTGGAGATATAGCAGTTAACTGCTGCAGTAGTCAGGAGTAAGTTGTATCATACCACGTTTCACCGAGTCGGCACATGTTAAATGAGCTGAGCAGTAACTTAACTGTAACAAAACCACTGGGATCCTACTAGTTGATTCTCAAGAAAAAGTTATATTGATGCACAGAAAATAGAATCTTATTTCACAAATATTCCGATGATGTCACACAGAACACAGTTCAGCTCTTACCTCAATGACGTAGAAGTTCAACATTTTTCTTTTGGTGGTTTAGAAAAAAATTGTTCCTAGTATTGTTAATCAATGTAGTAGGAGCATTTTTGTGTGTCATACTTGTGGATTTTCCAAGCATAAATGCTAATCGTACCCTAGTATAAACAACGGAAGCACTGCTCCTGTTTCTATTATTCATTCTTATGTGTGGGGACCTTCTTGTGTTGTGTATATTTCGACCTGTCATTTGTTCATCACTTCTATTGATTGTTACTTTCGTCTCACTTGAATTAGTTACTTCACAAAAAAAGGAAAATTTTCTTGTTTCAAAACTTTATGTAAAAATGATGGAACCCAATTTGATTCTAAGATCAAGATTCTTTTGAGTGGTAATGGAATTGAGCACACTGAGGGGGATTTTCGTGTCTATCTCAATGAGAATGGCATTATCGAGGACTCTATCTATTCCTTCATTTCTTTTCCTGTGTTTCAATTTCTTGATTTCATCTATTTTGTGTTTGGTTTCATATCACACAAGGGGAAACTTGATACCAAGTGTTGAAATAGAGGTTACACACGTGTTACCTATTGACGCGTGGAAATGGATCGAATTGACTTGCTTTATGAACTTTGCTTGTATCCTCATGGCTTGGTGTCTACAAGCTTGATAATCTGCTAGAAAGAGGCTACCCTAGTTTTCTCAGCATTCACACTCACAAAACAAAGGAATCCTTAGAGACGATGATTCCTAGAGAGAGAAAGTGACAGATTTTATTTGTATATATTTTGTATAACTGTCATCCTATATATAGAAAAGAGTTTGATGAGGATTCAAATCCTAGATTAGGATAAAGAATAAGAGCCTAAACTCATTAGGTCTCTAATAACCTTGAGGACACCGAGTCAACTTGGTCTCCTAACCAGGTCAAGATTACATCTACTACTTGTCCACATAGGTTATCCCACTCTCCTTACATAAATTCTTTGAATTTCATGTAAACATTTCACTCTCCTCATAAAAGTATTGGAGTGTGCGACCTGACGAAAAACATGTAGTAGGAGTGCTATATTAAGCCACCATCTAACTAACTTAGCACGTCATCGACGAGATGTCGTCCATACCCTAGATAACTTAAATCACACAAATCAAGTATTTTCTATCCCTCTTGAGATTCATCTCAGAGCAATACTTGACTAAACCCATTTCATGTTTATGTTCATGATTATCTTACGCAACTAAGTACAATAATTGCCTAGGCAATGAACTACCAAACTAGGTGTGATATAAAATCACATAATATCATATTAATCCATTTTGATTCAAGCACTTTTCTAGACATGTCCCATGTGACCGTATCTGTCATGATCCTGGTTGACATGTTACTTTGAACCTCGACTTCATGGCATAGCTCTAGGTCTATGGGTATAGTGAATTTTAGGGCTCACGCAATGACAGAGAGGATATCAATTTTATCATTCTCATTTTTGGTCGACTGTATCACATATAGTATGATATGTATGCTAAGGTGGAGCTCCCACTAAATGGGTCATGTCACTCTCAATCACCATACGAATCTGGGTCTAGTTGCCACATAGGCATCTAACCCAAGCTACTCTAGGCCAGCCTCTCTTCAAGCATTTCTTGAGTGCTCACATTTGGCTTTATGCAGGTTTTATATGGAATTGTGGAGGCGTTCCATATACGACTTACTTAAGTCTCATCTCAGTCCGAAACCAAGGCAACAACATTTCCAATCATTAATGCCTATTATGTAACTCATACATATAGGCCATTATAAGCTCATTATACAAGCACCAATCTGATCACTTTGTTTCATCCTGCTCGATATCTTAGCGCCAAGATAATCACCCGTGTGAGTGGGTTGATCTTAACCTGATGACATTATTACAATTATGTGCTGCATAAAAATAGTATCATTCATGCAACCACAAGTAGGAGATAAAATGACAAATGCGTGAAATATAAATTTCATATTTCCGTCATACAATCCAAAGCAAATAAAATCCTATGTCTCCTCAACCTTCTGGCATGCGTTTGGAAGATATCTCTAGCAATAAATTTAGCAAGAGGATCAACCACTATTTTGTTAGTGGAGATATGCTTTAGAACCACCTTTCCTGGCCTGACTATGTTTCTAATGTAGTGAAATTGTATATCAATATGCTTGGTCCTTTGCATATGATAATGCAGTCATGTTATCGGATCGAATCTCAACGTCATCAGCATGGGTCGCAATCCCTAATCGTTGAATGAATCTCCTCAACTAGAATGCCTCTTGAACTATTGTTGAACAGTCAATGTACTCAGACTCTATAGTAGATAAGGCAATACAAGCTTGTTTCTTGTTACACCTAGAAACAACTCCTCCAAGTGTGAACGCATAACTTGAGAAGGATTTGCGTTCATCTCTATTGCCACCCCAATCTACATTGCAGAATCCTCTCAATCTCAAGTCTTCACCCTGATAGCATATGACGAGATCTGTGGTACCATGAAGGTAATGAAAAAACCCTCTTAAAGCCTACCAATGGACTGGCCCTAGGTTGCCTTGGTAATGACTTACCAAGCCAACCGCATAACAAATATATCAGGACGAGTACACGACATAGCATACATTAAACTCCTTATTGCACTCGCATAAGAGACCCTTTTTATGATTTCCTTCTACTCATTTGATCTAGGACAATGGTCAAAGATTAAAGTTTGGCCCTTCTCAACTGGGGTATCAATTGGTTTTGAATAGTGCATCCAGAACTATTCTAAAATTTTCTTGATATAGGTTTCTTGTCACAAACCCAGAAACCTTGTAGAACGATCCCTTAGGATCTTAATTCCGAGCACATAGTTCGTCTCACCCATATCCTTCATCTCAAAAGTAGAGGATAACCACTCCTGAGTGGCATTGATTATCCCTATATCGTTTTTAGCTAATAGAATGTCATCAACATATAGAGATAGGATCAAAATTCTCTTCCCTGTATGTTTGACATATACACAATGGTCTCCCTCTATCATAGATAAGTGGAACGTCATAATGGCATTATAGAACTTGAGGTACCATTGTCTAGATGACTGTTTGAGACAATAAATGGATCGTTTTAGGAGGCATACCTTGCTCTCTTGCCTCTTAACTTGAAATCCGAGAGGTTGATCCATATAGATCTCTTCATCTAGTCCTCTATTGAGGAATGTAGTCTTGACATCCATCTGATAGAGCTCTAAATCCAAATGAGCTACTACGACTAGAATCACGCGAATAGAAGAAATCTCAACACGGGAAAGAATCTCTCTTCATAATCTATGCCCTCTATTTGGGTATACCCTTTTTCTATGAGTCGGGCCTTAAATTTGTCAATTGACCCATTTGCCTTACGCTTTATTTTTAAGACTTATTTTTTCCCAATGGTCTTGCGTCTAGGCGGAAGATAAACTAACTCCCATTCTTTATTCCTTATCATTGAGTCCAACTCATCCCTCATGGTAGCTAGCCATTCATCACGAGTAGGTGAAGTTAGAGCTTCTTTATAGGAAGCAGGCTCGTCTACATCCAATGGAGTGCACATGAAAACATTCCATTCAATCTCAAAATGACGACGGGGAATATGTCAACGTTTACTCTTATGTAACAAAGGTCTTTGTGAGTTACTCTTCATTGGTGTGCTCCCACTCATTGATGCACTTTCACTGGGTGGAAAAACACTATTCTTTATCATTGCCCAAGGACAGTGTAACCTCCTCTTGTAACTCAAAAACTCAATGTGCTTTCTAACTTCACCTATGCTTAGGAAGTCATACTTGAGAAATCCACATTTCTGAACTACACTTAAGTCATACTCCCATCTAGATGTTCTCGTACATCACATAAGCTTTGGAATTCTTTGGATATTTGATGAACACCTTCTTGCTTGCCCTAGGGCTAAGCTTGCCTTACTTACAGGAGGTGTTATGAACATAACCAACTAAACCCCTAGGCGCAAATGATCTAAAATAGGATTTGCGCCATTCCATAGTTTATATGGGGTAATAGGCAGAGATTTATTAGGTACTCGGTAAAGGATGTTGACTGCTATCAATAAGGCACCCCCCCAAAAACTTATTGGGAGGTTGGCTTGCGCCATCATCGATCTAACCATATCTAGTAAGGTACGATTTCTCCGTTCTGCAACATCATTTTGTTGTGGCATGCCAAATATCGTAAGTTGCCTATGTATACCTTTTTCCTCACAAAACTCCTTAAATTGCTCAGAAAGATATTTGCATCCTCTATCGGTTCGGAGAGTCTTTAAATTTCTCTTCTTTTGACTCTCAACCATTATTACAAAACGCTTTAAGTAATGTAATGCTTCAGACTTGTGAGAAATCAAATACACATAATCGAAGTGCAAAAAATATCAATAAGTGTAAGGAAATAAGAGGCACCATGACATGTCTTGACA